ATATGTACGTATGTATTAAATAAGATATTCATATTTCAATATGAAGATTTAAAGTAATGAAATGGGCACAAGAGAACTAATAGCCACAGCTTCCACAAAAATTATCCTTCAGGTTAGCACCTGAATTTTTCATAAATACAATATTATCAGGATACTCAGTGTAAAAGTAATCACAATATCATCGTCATGGAGTAGAAAACCAGACATTCAAAACATAAAAAGGGCAGTCTGGTGCACTAAGCTCCAACACAATTTTTTTAAAAAGGAAAAAGGCCAAATTTGCACCTCTACTAAGTGGAAAAAATCATTTTTTCCCTCTGCTATACTTTCGATGCAAAAATACCCCTGAGATTACCCAAGTGGCTCAAATATACCCCTCCTCCGTTAGGGTTGTCCAACGTGAACACCAATCCCATGTGGCACTGACATTTTGGTGAGATGGACGACATGTGACATGCCTCCTCACTACCCCCAACCCACTTTACCCCTTCACCTCCACTTCTTCTTCCGTAAAAGAATTGAAGACTAGAGACTTGGACTTATGGTCACGCGAAGATGGGAGAAATGAATGCAATTCAAGTTAGTTATATGGATGCAGAAAAGAGCATACGGCCATGAATTTTTTGGCGCATTAAAGATCAGAACCACATTTCTGATTGTGAATTTTATCAAGCAATCATCTATGGTTTTCGAGCTTATTATTAGAATTGAAAAGAAAGGACAAGACATATTTATTTGCTCCTTCAATTTATCCCGATATGCAAGCAGAGCAAAGCATAAGCTACAACTTTCTCCTTCTTTTAGCTTTGAATCTTCGTAATAATTTGCGGCTTGTGAGATCTTCGCTTACTGAGCTTTATCTGTGTTGTTTTCCTTTTATGTCTTCTACAGAATCTTGAGATCTTCAGTCAAGAAACCTCAGAATCTTCAGTCACGAATTATTTTTCCTTTCTGAATTTTCTCATTGCATCAAATAAATATATTGATTTTCTCCATTCGTCATTCCATTGTCCAGCTGCTCCATGTCTTTGTATGTGTTGTTCATCTATAAGAACTCAAACTTCTCATCTTTTCTCCATTGATTCTCCATGGATCTCACATTTTCGATCTACTAATTTTGTACTTCAATTTAACCATGGAAATGTTACATACATCATCACATATATATCTGAAGATAAATATTTTCGCAAAGAGTACTGTACAGTTGTTCTCCTGGGGAAGAAGCAGCAGAAGGAAAGGGGTAAAATGGATTGGGGAAGGTGAGGTGGCATGCCATGTAGCATCCATCTCACCAAAATGTCAGTGCCACATGCGATGGTATCCACCTTGGACAGCCCTAACGGAGGAGGTCTATATTTGAACCACTTGGATTAAATCAGGGGTATTTTTACTTCAAAGTATAACGGAGGACAAAATTGATCATTTTCGCATAGTAGAGGGACAAATATGACCCTTTTTCCTTAAAATATAATTTTCCAACAAACCCGGAGAATGATATTTCATGAATAAGCAAACATACCAGTTCATCGACTGACCAGAAAACAGCAGTCTTATGACAGCAAAGGCAACTGGAAAAACAATTCCTAGCAAAATTGCAAACGTATGATACAACATTCCTGCATAACAGTCAAAAAAAAACATTTTAAACTAGCAGGAAAGAGAACAAGCTTTTAAGACCACTCTTCCAACCAAAGAGAGAATTGAAGTATGTTTGTTACCTTTAAGAAAATCATTGAAGGTTGCAAAACAACAGGTCAGTCCCCAAGTTGGAAAGCGTAAGAGAAGTGGCACAAGAAAAAAGATGACAAGAGGAAAACTATGAAGTAGCATAGCTTGCTCTCTTGAATAGTATATCTACAATGAGAAGAAGAACAATAGGTACTCATAGTTAATTACCCACTTCATACAATAACTAGATAAGATCTTCATCGTGAAAATTGTTGGCTTACCAAGAACCATGACAAGTAATCAAAGAAAACCGCATGTTCATTGTCAGATCTATTGACAGCAGATCTTAATCTCCTCTCATGTGCATTTTGCAGGTTAGATGAGTTTGTGAAGGCTTTGATTATTCTTAATAAATTGTCTCCACGTGCTTGAATGCTTCCAGGTCTAGGTAAGAAAGAATTCTCATGTATTAGAGGAAGCATCCAAGTAGACGCAATAGTCTTAAAATTTCAATTTGGTGATCTATACCAAAACAGCAATTATGATGCGTACAATAGTCTTTCAACAGTATCAGACGCGGTATGATAAAAATAACCACCAAGGAGGAAGATAATATCCAGTCCAGGAATATCGCCAAAATCTTGGGCAAACATTCTGTAGTCTGTATCACCAGGAATAATACCAAAAAGATCCTACAAGCACATTGGAAAAGAGAAACTTTCAACTCCATATAAATCACTCACTGCTTAAAGGAACTGGTAGATAGATATCAAGAAAAAAATTTATGTACTAGATAATATTCTGTGAACCTGAGCTGCACTATTCGCCATAGGATAGAGTGCCGATTGAGCATAAACATATGAAGGCCAGGAACCAGGTCCAGATTGGCAAACAAAATCTGTCAATCCAACAATGCACAGCAGGTGAAATTTTAACAATATCAATGGCATAGAGAAGGAAAATTTTGAGAATTGAATGCTTAACTCTCCTCATGGAGCAGATAATTTGGCCTGGGCAACTTGTCATTCAGAGTGTCAGACTTGTGCATGGTGAACCAATTAGTAGGACATCATAACTCGAACATGATACCCTAGTAGAGATAGTGATGGATAGATGCCCATAAAGGTCAAATTCACTATCACTTTATTGTTCGTAGGATGATATTATTGATTTATATAGACATTTTTAAGAAAATGGACTTTCCAAAAACTAGCTGAAGTGGTGAATATCACTCAAAAATATAAGAAGATTACAACATAACACTTGACTGAAGTGGGAGCCTAGGGCTTAACACCTAGGACGTAGAGTTACATAACACGGGTGGTTCAATATTAGATAACCAAACATCTGAGATGGATTTGACTATAGTATCATGTTGAGAAAATGGATAGTGCCGAACTCAACCCAAAAGGCTAACTCAAGTGGTGAGAATTATCTGAGACCATATAAGAAAATTACAACCCATGTTTTTTTTAAATAAGGTAAAGTTTTATTAACTAAGTACCAAGACGGCACCAGAAAGTTACAAAACACTGCTGGGAATATCCATGCAGTTAGTTACAACATTTTCCTAACAACTCCAGGAAATCCAAGTAATGATCAATACTATCAACAAGACTGCCCTTAAACCAAAGAAACAAATTATGCAAACACTTGTCTTTAACTCTAAAAATCTGATCTCTTCGCCCATCAAAACAAGCTCTACTCCTCTCTAGCCAATGGTCCAGAAAATGCACTAGGAAATAGTTCTCCAAATTTGCTTCAAAGCTTTATCTGTCCTTTGATGCTGCCAGCTCCCCAATAGAGAGCTAACACTCTGAGGCATGACCCATGAGACCCACATATACTGAAAGGGAACTCCGAGCATTGTCTGGCAAATCTGCAATGCAAAAGAAGGTGGTTCACAGTCTCCACTTCTTCCTCACATAGATAACACCTGTTACCAAGTGAAAAACCTCTCTGAAGATTGTTTTGGGTGAGACAAGCTTCCCAAGCAGCAGTCCAACCAAAACATGCAACTTTAACAGGGGGTTTGTTCCTCCAGATCACTTTCCAAGGCCAATTTGTTTCCCATTGACTTGTTCTCTTCCTTGGCAAGTTGTAGCAATTATTGACTGAGAACTTCATATCTTTGCTAGTTGTCCATACTAATAAGTCTTTTTGGCTTTGATTAATATGAGTCGAGCCCAACTGAAGGAGTAGATGACAGAAATTTTCTATTTCCCAATCATTCAAATGTCTTCTAAAATTCACCGGCCAACTTGAATCTGAATAGAACTAAAGCACAACTCCATCTCTATTAGTGCAACAGCTAAATAGATTAGGAAATTTTTCTTTCAAGGTTTCCATCATCAATGCATAAATCATTCAAGAACTGAATCTTTCTTCCATTCCCCAACTCCAATGTAGTAAATTGCTTAAATTCCTCCCATAATTTGCAAACCTCTTTCCACACTCCCCCTCTAGTATACACACTTTTGCAAGGGGAATTACAACCTTATCTACTGCCATAAATGGCTTCAATTATTTTTACCCAGATTGCTTCTTCATCCCTACTAAATCTCCACAGCCACTTGAATAACATGCTTTTATCATGTAGTCTCAGATTTCTAACTCCCAAGCCTCCCCTTTCTTATGTCAAAGAACTATCTGCCATTTAACTGAATATTTTTGTTGTCATTGTTCCCATCCCATAAAAATTGATTCCTCATAGAGTTCAACTTTTTCTTTATTGTAGCAGGCATAGAGAATAAGGACATTAGATAAGAGTGCATCCCATCTAGAACACTATTTATCAATGTGAGTCTCCCTCCAAATGACAATGTGAGTCTCCCTCCAAATGACAAATACTGTTTTTTCTAGGGAGTCGTCTTGTTGGCTTATCTATCCAAGACCTCTTGCCAAATGCTTTGATCATTTCTCCTTACTCCAAGAGGGAATCCCAGAAAGATTGTCGGAAAATTATCCACTTGGCACCCCAAAAATATCTACTAGTTCTTCAATACAGTTCTCATCATTAATGCTATAAATATTACTCTTTCCCAGATTGACTTTCAAACCAGAAACTGCTTCAAAGGACAGTAAAGTACCTCTGAGACATAGGAATTGTTCCTTCTCTGCCTCACAAAATAAAAGAGTACCATCAACCCATATATTTATCTGATGTTCTAACAGATATAAACTCTAATCAGTCTTTAACTAGAGAATTGTTATGATTAATCAGTTCCAATACACATAACTACGATTATGATAGGAATTTGATTTGTTTATTAGATCCTAAGTTGCTCGGACACAGGTGTGGGTATCCGACACGGGTGCGGATCTAGAGGTCGGATCCTTCAAGATGTAAATTCTAAGATTCGGGGATATGGATCCTAGTACGGATACGGGTGCGGGGATCCAGCTAAAAATAATTCAAAATATAAAAATATCTCTAAATTAAGAGAAATTTTGTGGAATACTTACATATAGCTTGTAAATTGTGAATTTCTTTTTTATTCTCAAGTTGTAGATAAGTAAAGGATTGATTTCCTAGATAAGGTATTCCAGTTTTTTGGTAAATTTACCCTAGTTTTGGTTCTGATTTCGGGAATCAAATTGTATCTCGTCTGGAATTTTTCAGTTCGTCGTGGTCAAAGTACCCTAAATTGTTTGACTAGATCTGGTACAGATCCCATACCCACACCATACTAGTGTCGTGTCGACACGGGTGCGGCACCTAAACTGCCGTGTCGAAGCAACTTACATTATATCTCCTCTATCAACCTACTAAACAAAAATATACAACAACAAACCCAGTATAATTCCACAAGTGGGGTCTGGAGAGGTAGTGTGTACGCAAATTTTACCCCTAAACAAAAATATGCATAAGAGAAAAAAAATTGGAGAAAATTGTGACAACACAACCACTTGTTTTGAGTATTTGTTCCCAATATTCATGCTTTGAGACTTTGTATATGGGGTATTATGTCTTGGGAGTTGTGGGGTCCGAGGGGCTCGAGTGAGTTTCGACGGCATTTGGAACAAGTTCAAAGTTGTTTGTTTGTCAACTAGTGCACCGCGATTGCAAGTTGGGCTCGCAATCACAAAGGGTGCTAGCCAGGTTAGCTTCGCGATTGCGAAGGTGGTGATTGTTGTCCCGAAGAGTTTACGCTACGCTCAGTTGACTTCTGCTATCGCGGAGAGTTTGATTGCAATAGCAATGAATAGCCAACTGACTAACTCCGTGTAACAATTCAACCCCTATTTTTGAGTTATTGCGTGTCGTTGCATATTTTGCGACTTCCTGTAGGTTCAGATGATGTTTTGGTACTTGCAGGCGCGGTTGGTTTGGGACCTGAGGGGCTCGGGAGTGTTTCGCCACCATGGCAAAGAACTTGGAAGTTATAGAATCTCTTATAACAACCCTACCCTTATTTTTAGCATTTGCTCTTTGTTTTATGTTTTGAGGCCTTCAGTAGGTTCATATAGTGCTTTGTCGGGATAGTTTGAAAGGGTTCCGGAGGGCTGGAGTGAGGTTCAGCATCATTCGGGACAAAGATGAAATTGTAAAAAAATTGCACCTTATGCTCTGGTGCGTGTAGGCTTGGTGCATTTGAGGAAGTGTTGTCAAAGGCTTATCTGAGGCGCATTTAAACCCTGAAGCTCAGAGATGCTTGAGGTATGCGCTTCGCCTCGTCTAGGCTGCACTTTAATGTTGGCAAGGTATTAAGGCCTGCACCTTATTGCCTATAAGGTCTATCTTAAATTGAGTAGTACAAAACAGTAAATATGATTGGCAAAAAGATAAAGTAATTGTTAAGGACATTATTATGAAGTTGTTACTTTTTTCTTGCATTACATATAGATTTTCTACTTTTTTTTTTCTTTAAGCCTTTTTAACTAAAGCCCACACTTTAATTTCGCTTAAAGCTCTGATACACCTAGAGCGCTTTTTAATGCTTTTCGCATTTGACAATAGTGGTAGAGGTGTGACGCACTTGCATGACACAATAAGGGCTGGGAGGAGTTGGACGTGCGACGCACCTATAGAGCTCAAGGACAAAATTCCAGCATTGTATAAATAGTCCCATTTTGTGATTTTAGTTCATTCCCGACTATTTTGAAAACTTGGGAGCTCAGTTTTGGGGAATTTTAAGCAAGATTAACATCTACAACATTGGAGTATGCAATTTCAACTCGATGTATCATTCATATCATAAATCTATCATAGAAACATAAATTGAAGGTGGATTCTAGTGAAACTTTGGAGATTACCTAGAATCACATGAATGTCGATTTGAATGCCTAAATGGTCTTACAATGGAAATCTAAACATGGATTTGGATTCATGAGGTTATAGGCCAACCGGATATGACTTTTGTTTCGTAGTTTGACCATGTGAGCTCGGGTTTGACTTTTAAGTTGACTTGACATCGAAGCTTGCTAAATTTATAGAATAGTTATCCTAGACTAATTTGAACCCATTATTCATGATTTTGAATAGACTGCAGTCAAAGGAGATTGTTTGAGTTGGAGATTCAAGTAAAGTGTTGTTTGCCATTTTCGATGCAAGTGAGACTTTAACTCTTAGGGTGTGTTTGGTATGAAGGAAAATGTTTTTCATGGAAAATGTTTTCCTAGAAAATGTTTTCATGGAAAATGAGTAGTTTTATCACTTATTTTCCCTTGTTTGGTTGGTGAGTGAAAACCTTTTTTCGGAAAATATTTTTTAGTGTTTGGTTAGAGAGTAGAAAATATTTTTTAGGTATAATAATTTTTTATGCTACTCTCCTCCNTCTATTTTCTTCAAGAATTTAATTATTCTTCTAAGAATTCATACAAACCCAAAGGAACTAATGTGTTGATTTACTTTTTACGCAAAAACAACATTGAAATTTGTGCTCCATAACTAAAAAATACTCTTTTTTGGTTAAAAAAGAAAGTACTATTTCTACAACATGAAAATAAAGTACTCATTTTGTTAAAGTTAAAGAAAATACTTTTTCTACATCATGAAAAGAAAATACTCATTTTGTTGAAGTGAAAGAAAATACTTTTCTACATCATGAAAAGAAAATACTCTTTCTGTTGAAATAAAAGAAAATACTTTTTACTACATCATTTTGTTGAAATGAAAGAAAATATTTTTTCTACATAAAAAGTACTTTTTTTGTTAAAATGAAAAATAAACTTTTTTTATATCGCGAAAAGAAAATACTCATTTGTTGAAATGAAAAAAAACATACTCTATCTATAACATAAAAAGAAAGTACTATTAATAATATTTCTATTTAGGGTGGGGTGGAGGTGGGGGTGAGGGTAGGGGNCTCCAATTGGAGGAAAATGAGTTCATGAGGAAAATGTTTTCCAAAACATTTAAGCCAACCAAACATGGGAAAATTGGAAAAACATTTTCCGAAAAATATTTTCCTTCATACCAAACACACCCTTAGTTTTCTTGCTTTTCCTTAAAAGCATGCTATATGTGTTGCTTGTTTGCATTTCAACTACATTGTCCTTGTGTGTAGGAGAGCATGAACTTTGTTAGCTAGTTTTGAAGTTTCTATCTTAGACAGAAGTAGGTCCTAGCATGTCTATCTATATTTTCATGATATTTTTAGAGTTGACAAGTTCTTTGTGATATTTGTTTAGCTATTTAGCATGGCATTATCACATAGCTAGCATCACACACAGCTTGGAACCGACGTATGTCCTTATGAGCCGGCAGCTTTAGCATGGGTTGAGCCTAAGTAAGCATACTCATGGCCCCATTGATGGGTTGAGCCTGAGTGAGCATACTCATGGCCCCTAGATGGGTTGAGCAGTTTTTCAGCATATAGTAGCATCATGTCTACTTTAAATAATAGTATTCATCATGCTCGAATCAGTTGCTTTACTTGTATATTGCTTTTATACTTGTAATACCTTACATTATGCACTACTGGCGATTTCTAAAAACTTCCCCAGGGGTAAGCTGGGAAAGCGAGTCGATAATCTTGTTCGACCTTTTAGATTCATAGTTACTAACCGTGCATAGGTCCGTTAGAGAGTGATCCAACTACTGAGTTGCTAATTGCCAGCTTATCCAGCCACCACTTGTCCGTGAATGTAGCTTCAGCTCAGTTCTTCTTATTCTAATTTATGACTTCTTTATTGAGTTGCGTCTCGTATCAGTTGTATTCAATTCCTAGTATCAGTTGTATTCAATTCCTAGTGCTCAATGATTTAGCCTTTTAGTTGGTTCTATGGGACGTCTTGACATTATAGTTGTACTTCGTTGTCGCACATATAATATTATCAGACAACCTTAGTGGAATTCTTTCTTTGTTATTTCTATGCTTTTATCATGTTTTAGTTTAGAGGGTCATGATGCTATCGGCTCTCACGTGGTTTATGAGTGAGATTGCATAGGCCAACGTTTAGGCATTGTCCGTGATTGCAAAAGTTTTATCGCAATTTAGGTGAAGAACCTGGACCGGTATATATAGCTGAGTTTCGCAAACCAGCTCCATTTCTGGAGTTCTAAGCTATGGGAATTGGAGATTTGAACGGGGTATTTACCAACTGAGTTGGGTAAGTCTTCTAATCATCTCCTTGAGTTTATGCCATGTTTTTTCTTGAAGATTTACCATTAAAACATGGGATGTAATGGTAGGAACTGGGATTTTAGGTCTAAATCCTAGAAACACTAAATTAAGAATTTGAGCATCTAAACGGACTCCAAATGAAAATCTAAGCATAGCTTTGGACTCGTTATAGGTAACCCAGATTTGACTTTTGTTTTAGGGCTCAACCGTTTTGACTCGGGGTTGACTTTTTTGCAAGACTTTGACCTTGACCGAGTCTTAAATTATGGAATTGGGTCCAATAGACTTTTTTAACATCGTTAAGTAATGTTTTGAATAGATCGGATTCGTTTGGTGGATTTTAGACGTGGAAAGGTTGTTCTTGAAGTCTAAGCTGAGCTTAGACCGAGGTAATTTACTACTTTGACCTCAATGGGCGAATTTTTCCCAAACTAGAATTGTTTTACATATACTATGTACATGAGGGTACCATATATATGAGGTGACAAGTATATATGTGGATACCGGGGTAATATATGGGATATATTTTTGTTACTTTGTTGTGCACGACTTGCTATATTTGTTATACTCCCTCCGTTTCAATTTATGTGAACCTATTTCCTTTTTAGTCTGTGTCAAAAAGAATGACACATTTCCTTAATTGGTAATAATTTACCTTTGTGCAATGATTTATAGCCACACAAAATATATGTGCCTCATTTTACACCACAAGTTCAAAAGTCTTCTCTCTTTTCTTAAACTTCGTGCCCAGTCAAATGGGTTCACATAAATTGAAACAGAGGGAGTATGATTAATTGTGCATATTTGCTAGTATAATATTATATGCATTTGTTACATGCTAGATAACATTATAGAGTTCATGAATGTTGATTTACATGGTTTGGACTATTTTGTCATGCATGTATGCATATTGATTTGCATATGTGATTCAAATTGGATAGGTGGGAATGTGTTATGGGATGTGAACTCGTATCTGCTATTGAGATATTAGTTTTGGCCATGTGGACTCGCATTCTGGTTATTGTGTGTGTATTAGATCCTCCCTCATGAGTCACTAGTCTTGATGAACCACATACGGTGTACGCATAGGTTTGAGTGATTACACATGTCGATTATGAGTAAAATTTGAATCTTTATCATGCATAAACAATATGCCACTTTTATTGTGCATTTTGATAAATGCTGGACTTATGCATATTGTTGTTATGTGCTATGTGCCTATTACTGTTGAATATAATACTTGCCCGAGTTATGTTTTAATGACTACTTTCTTAATTGACTCTCGCCATTGCTTCGTGGGAGGCGGTCAATGATACATATTGAGTAATCCCGTACTCGCCCTCTTTTCCCTGCATTCTATAATTCGGATCCAAGTACTAGGGGGACCCGTGATTGAGATTCCGGCATTTATATCAGTATCAGTGGTGAAATTCTTGCTTCTTGCCTGGTTCGCAATGGCTTGGCTTCTCTTTTATCTTTATGTAGTTCGTATTCAAATAGTTGATGTACTTTTCTACTTCTAGAGGCTCATAACTTCGTTACAACCCAGACCTGTATTATGTTGATTTATGTGTTGTCAGATTTATTAGATTCTGATTATTATATTATTGTCCATATTAGAATTTATATCTGGTAAATGTTTATGGTTCGCTCAAGACGAGGATGTTGGGTGCCAATCACGGCATGGGTAATTTGGGTCATGACAAAATGTTCTCCATAAAATGATTCCAGACCAATAATAGCGTACCTTCCCCCTTACCAATCAATTACTCTAGCATTTGGCAACAAAAAAAAATTAATGCTTTACATTTATCCCTATGCTTTCATTTATCCCTCTTTCCAAGATTGTAATAGCAGGCAGCAAGTAATAAACATGCCACAATAGTATGAATGTAGGCACCTACCAAAGCCTCCGGTCCCAGAAGCTTCAATATTTATGAATGCTCCAACCGTCTCATTCCATCTATGCGTAGTTATGAAACCGTGCGAACCCTGAAAAACTCATCAGCAAACTCTTATGTTTAACTTGCATATATTTCAAATCATCTACTGATCTACATGAAGCATTCTGAACACCAACAATGATAATAGAGATAACCACAACTCCTTGAGCTCGTGGAAGTGATTCGCACAACATCAGATATCAAAAATCAAAATGAGACATTAGTACATAAAGACAAAATGTGTTTACAGGATGCTCAAATGCATGTGAGTGTTTACTTGAACTACAATCCAAGATTGTAAATCTGGTCCTAGTGATCAGAGATGATATGCAAATAAGATCACAGTTATCAAGGAACAGAAGGAGGAATTAAGAAATTCAAGGTGGCAGAACCTTATCGTTCTCTAAATTTTAGAACTTTTGATCATGAGACATTAAACATAACCAGAGGGCCTATCATAAGCTGTGTGAAAAACCTTATATCGCAGAGGTAAAGATGGGGTTGTACTAGTAGAACTTGGAAAGGCCTTTATCAATCACACGAGAAATATAATTTCTCAGATCTAAAATGACTCTCAAAATTGACAAAAGAACCTAGCATCAACATCATGCAATCATCATATTTAGCACCCTGTCCATATAACAATAAGGAACATCTCATATTAAACATATGCTTTAAAAGTATGAAATGAATAGTACCAAAAAGAATTCCAAATACTTCAGAGAAACTATTTAAGAATACAAATCTGTGTTTCTGAGAATGTATAGTCATCACATTTTTCACTGTTCAGAAGACTAAAGAGCACAAAGGGTAGAGATAGGAGAGAACAAACTCAAGGATAGTTGAAATACTGCCGAATCACATAATTTTCTAAGAAACATGCATTAGGAAAATGGGACGAATGGAAAAGTAGCACCTACTTCCAAGAACTACAATACAAAAGCATAGTTCATGATTCTTTAAGTCCATTATTCTTTATAAAGGAGATCTTACCAGCATAAACAGTTCTTCAGCTCCATTAAATAGAAATATAACTGGTCTAGGTGGAATCCAGCCAGAATCTATAGAGAGTCTTGCTAGCTCAAGCATCGATGCTGTTTAAGATTCAAAATAGATATGACCAACAATGAAATCAGCCGGAAAGCATAGATCGAAAATAAGATATACATACCAACACATGAACCACAATCACCAGCTCCTGGAGAACCAGGTGGAGTATCAAAATGGCCATTGACCAAAACTGCAGTATCATTTTCTCCTGAATCCACTGATGAGATTCTGAAATTAATTTTGGTTACTTTCAGTTTCATCTATTAAACATATTTAAGGTGTTGCAGGTTTGAGTTAAAACTTAAAATCCCCTTCTATTAGGTATATGAGGTTACAATCAAATATCAATAACAATTTGTCGGCTACTTTCCAAAAGATGTCCTTAACTTCTTCAGGCTTTTCATAATTGGAACAAGTAAAAGGCACTTCTTTCGAAAGCAAAAGATCCATCACTCCTATAGATGAGCTCCACCAAAAAGAAAATCCTTTAATTGATGAAATGAGGAAAAGAATTAGGTACTAACACTCACTTATCTTTATGCTTTAAGAAATTAGACAAGAAAAGAGAAAGGAAAAAAAACCAACAAAAGCATTGGTGGATAATGAAATGTAAGAATATATAAGATTGTATGTCACATTCATGTAGGTTTACCTCATAATAATATTTTTATGATTTCTATAAGCCAGAGAAATGCCATGCCGTAAAAAGACCATGTTGAAGGAGCCATTAACAATGGTCTCCTCTATCTCTATTCTGCAAGAATAAGAATCTCAAATCGTTAGTTCAACAATTAAGAATTACTTGAAGATGACTTCAACAAGTTAAAGGAGTTTCCAAGTAAGACCGACCTAATACCAGGCTGAGCTCGCTCCTTCATCATTTCCAACTGTCTCTTAATATATTGAGCTGCTTGTTTCAAACCTTGACGCCCTTCCTATACATAAAAAGTTTACCTGCACACATTATATCTTAAAGAAGACAAAGAAAGAGAATAAAGGATAACCCAAATCTACGCAAGCGTCTAGTTCAAATTCTAAAGCAAGAAAATAACAAGGATATATAGCATTAGCCATTGTTAACTACTGTGTTCGAAACAGAAACCAGAATAAACGAAATAAACTGGAAAAACGAATAAACATAAACTTGAAATAATTGTTCTGAGCCTACAGAATTCATTGTGTCCTTAAGGAATTTAATCCCCTCACAGTATCCAAGGTGTTGGATTATTTCCTCACAGGATTGAACGGATATACCTTTGTTAGAGTAGTGGTTCTTCAAACGACAACAAACTACGAACGCAAAGACTGGAACAAATCACACACAGACTCTATTTTGTGTTTGGAAAATAATGTAGAAGTTTCAAAAATTAGTAAGTGAAATCTGAGGCCATGCCTCCGTATTTATAGCCAACAAAAGGATGTGAGGTGAAAAGGTGGACTTCAAATGCAGCCTTTTTTGGTGTCTTTTCGGAAAAATCAGGTGCCTTTTCGGGAAAACCCAATTAACTTTTACGGAAAACGTCACGAACTAAAATAAAAAATAAACAAAATTTATTAATCTAAAAATTAATCAATCAATCAGATCATTTGACCTAATCCTAATGCGAAGCCAAATCAAAAGCCGAGCCAAGCGACTACGTGAGGGCTTGCCTTCTTCCCGACCTTTTAAGCTAGTGTAGAAGTGTTTTTCAATATAAGCCTAACAACATTCTTCTCTTTATTTCGTATAGGACAACATCCCTTCATTACACATTCACACCTCACAAAACCCAACAGTCGTAAACTGAGCTACTAGTAGTACAGAATGCCACAAAAAGTCACTGTCCATGAAGCCTTTTTTCCTCAAATTTTCATTAGAAAAATTCAATCCGGTGTTTGCTCAAATTTTCGCTCAAAAAAACTGTTCTTTTAAGTTGTGGTTCGAGGGTAGTTTCCAAAGAATTCTTTTTGTTCTTCCACCCACAAAACACTCATAAATCTAAGATTTAAAAAAAAAAAAAAAAA